TCATCTTAGCTTTTACTGAGAATTTAAGTGTTTTAAACCTAATGTTTGGAAACAACACACAAAACTACTTGGAAAGCTTGTCAGAAAAAAAAAAGCAGAAATCTGCTATGAAAGAAAAAAAGGCCCATAGCTTAAGACTGCACAGTGTGAACTGGAAAATTTGGAATGGGAAGTTATAATTAGGACCGGACATACACAATGTGTAGGAATTGCAACTACTAGATAAAGTGCAAACACTAAGTATAGTTCATATTTCTTAGTAGCACAGTGAAGCTAAATAAAGTTGCTTTGCATTGACAGGAAAATGCCACCTGCTTTTATTGGTGTATGAACAGTTTAAATTCTAATACAAATGCCTATCATTTATACACATTATTGATCGCTCTGCAAAGACAGCAATCTTCTAGCTTCTGTGATACATCATTAACAGAGGAGCTAAGCAGGAGATGAGATATCTACATGTTGAAAACTGTGATCCTCCAACAGGTGGCTGCAAAACTTGCCTGTGGTTACATTCTTGCCAAAGATGCACTGTTTAGCCAGCTCAGTCTTGTGCTTATTTTACCCTAATAAAATAACGTGAAGAGGTAACATGCTAAAAAGCTTAGGACTACACCTGCGCTACAGAAATACAACTATTTAACAACACGACACAGTTATTGGGATAATTTTTCACAATGCATCAGTTTCTTAAATATCATTCAGTTAGACAATATTTTATTTTAATTTGAAACCTTAGAAGCCCTCTTGAACAAGTCACAACTTAAAAAAGGGAAAAATTTAAAAGGTAAGCAAGCAATAGTTATTCAAAAGGCAAGCAATTTTTCAGAGAATATTCTTTTAGGTTTATAGGCTTTTGCTCTTCTATATTTCTATGAATTGTGCATTTACTTGCTTGGTGATTTTTTTTTTTTTCATTTATTTTTAAAAATTCTTTTTTTCTCTTATAAAATACTAGTAGAAGAATGAAAGGATATAAATATAGCCCAACACGTCAGAACTCGTGATATTCATGAGGCAATAATTAGCAGCTTCTCCAAGAGACAGGAAACCAGTAAAAAGAGCATCATATTTCCAGAGAGCCAATCTGCCATTGTACATTTACTTAAGTCTTTAAGAAACTTTTTACATAGTAGGAAAAGGTGGTAGGAAGAGCTATAGCTTCACAAAAAATCCCAAACCTGTCTACTTCTGTTACTTTTAAAGCTTTGGTCAACTTTCATTTTTCAGGATAATCTTTTATTCTGGACATCTGCCGTCATCTGTTTTGAAAGAAATAATTGATTAAATGGCCAAGATAAAACATGAAAGTTTTCTCATAGGTTCTTAAAACAGTTTTAAAATTTCTATCCTTAGGGCTATGATTTGAAATTTGACAAAAGGTCAGAGAAACTTCAGGAACATGTCATTTCCAGTCACCATTAAAATCTATCCAAAATCTGACCAAGTTATAAGCCTCTGAAAACTGGACGCCATCCTCAACATAAATGTGACGACATCTGTTAGTTCTCTGAAGACTGCTACTTTCACTGGGTATTTGTCGGTACTTCATGTTTGTCGTGTACTAACACAGGAGTAGGCATCACACTCAAAAAGCATAACCTACACCAGAAATACAAGTGCTAAGAATTTAATTTAAATTGGCTTCCAGGAGCCATTATAATACTAGCCCAAGAAACTACGAGTTGTGAAAATTGTCTTTACTCTTAACGCATTGCCTAATTGCACTCAAACAGTGTGGAAGGGAAAGAAATAGGATCCGATGAGAAAAGTAAAAGACACTGTGCACAAACATTTAACGGAGTGAGGCACAGGCCCACACTGAAGTCTGAAATATTTTGGGAGAGAGAAGAAAACAGATCTCATGTGTGTTACTGAGAAAACAGACACAAGATTTGGATACACAGTTGTAAGAGAGGGAGAACTAGAGGTGACCACCAGGCATGAGTACTAAAGAAGATGAGAATATAATCAGATTGTGCAATTGCAAACATTTCAAGACAGCAGAGTTCAGCATTAGCCATGTTAAATTAAATTCACTGGAGGACATCCAGAAAAGGAGATCAGAGTGAGAGAACAGGACTTTTAAATAATCTGTTTATATTCATCTCAAGCCATGAGCAATAGATCATAGAGTGAACAAAACTTACCGAATTATTTTCATAAACTGTAATCTAACATCTTCAAAAAACAGTGTCTGTGGGACCACACTTAAGCAAAAGGGGAATCATGGATTTTATTGCACATTAAAAACATAGTAAGTTAAAGCTCAGAAACACGTGAGATCAGTCACAAAAGGAGAAAAGGAGGGATTCCAGGAAGAACTTCAGTGAAAAAAGGTTGGCAATTCTGAAAAAAAAAAATGCTAAAGTAGTGACCTAAGAGACTTTATAAGAAGCAGACTAAAACAAAAATCAAAACAGCCAAATGAGTAACATCAAGGAACAAGTAAGCACCAGAGCTGGATGTAGCAGGGAGGAAGGACAACAAGGTGGCAGACAAACCTGGCTGGGACCAGGACAGGGTTAAGGAGCTTTGTTGATGTCAGTTTTAGCTGAGTGAAAAGGACACCAGCCAAACTGGAGGCAATCCAGGATGGAACTGGAGGCACATCTGATGAACTCAGAGATGAAGAAAGAATATGGGACTGGCTGTGCTCCCAATTTTGGAGTAAGGTCAAAGATGTCTCTCTTAATTCTAGATGGGTGAAATTTAAATATTATTTAAGGATAGTCTAACTCCTCTGTCTTTGAAATCAATGGCTAGATCAACATTAAAATCCTGTTCTAATGAATGGGGAAATAAGAAAAAAAAGAAAACCTAAATAAGAAAAGCAAAGTACAGACATGGAGAGAGATGCAAGAGGAGGCATGAGTCACAGACATTACATGTTCTTTTTTAAGTAATACACAGCATCACCATAAGTTTTTGTCAAACTAATTGTTAATTGTTCCATTTCCTTACGTAACTATTAGCATTTAGTTTCTGTAAGATATTTTGTTTACTCACTCTAAGAAGCAAAATCAGCTAGGAGAAGTCCAGTTTTGATGTTCTCAGTCACTGGAGTTTATGCTGCCTATTCTAAACATTTTCACCCTTGTAGGGCATGTAATGAATGAACAGGTAGGTGTTCCTGTACTGTGGTCACCAAGGCTGAAACAGAAGCATACTCCCAAACTCAATAGCAGCAGTGCCGTGTGAAATTCAATTGTGGAGATCCTAGTGCTCAAGACAGACGTGCGTTCCTTTGAAGCTGGATGCACTACTAGTTGCATACACATACACAGGGCTTTACACCACTTCTGACATTGTTTTACAGGAGTATCATCAATTTAGGGGACTTATACAGAAAAACAGCAATAGAATGTTTGTGGTTTACTGATAATTTAAATTAAGATCACTGCTAAGCCAGCAACATCTTAAATTGACACACTGTTCACATGGCATACTAGGTCAGGTTTCTGTTTCTTTTCAGAAAATCCTGAAATTTCAGTCCATCCTACTGGGTATAGTCAATGAAAGATAACTAGAATAATTCTCTTACTTAGACAAAGCATGGTATGCCAGTTAAGAAGAGGGCCTCTTCTGCTTATTTCCAACCTTTTAATTTGAAACAATCTATTTATACGTGAGGAGAAAATTCTTAAAAAAGAATATTGTAATCAATACACTAAAGAAGAAATAAACAGAGTATATGGTAAAACCAGGAGAACTGAAAACATTGCCAGATTGTTTTAAAAAACTTGAAAAATACGGAATGTGTCTTTTCCAGTAACTTTATTGAGTATATTTAACCATAAACACTTTCAGATTGTGTGTGATTTTAAGCTGCCTGAATAACCTCAGTTTTATAGTCACACTCGATTTTCCAATTAATTTCAAAAAACAGTTTGAAAATGTTTTAAACATTCATTTTTTATAAAAACATAAAGGTTGAATATTGTCAAGGGGACCATGGAATGATTTTGTAGATAAAGCTAGGTTATTTAGGAAAGCTTGTTTGTTTTAAAAATTCACCAGACAAATTTATTCTACCCATTTCCCCTTCACCAGTTGTGTTAAACTATTCTTCAGGAAAGTTGGGAAATATTTAAATAGTTAAAAAGACTCATGTTCTCTCATACCTATGCAAATCATTTTTTTTGCGTATTTCTATACAACCTTCACCTTAATGTGTAGAATAGGGATGATCTTAACTATACCAGTAAGGTGTTAGGCAGATTAGTTAACATTTGTACATTATTTTGAACATAATTAGTGAAGAGAAAAACCTCGATTATCTGCAGTCACATAAACCAGTACAAAGAAGTGTCGAAGATAACATTTAATGGAAATTAAAATTCATGGACTGTACAGTATCATACAATAGGAAGGCATCCTAATGTTGAATTCACTATCCAAGAGGAAGGAAAAGTACATTAGGCGATGTCTACACCACAGTTTTGTAATGGCACGCAAACACCACCTGTAACAGCACGCTGGCCAGATAGCCCAAAGGCACAGATAACACTGTAGCTGGATTGTCAGCAGATTTCAACTGATCCCTGCACTATTTTGTATTAAAAGTCTTTTCGGGTGAAAAAAAATATCTAGCCTAGACATTTCGTTTGGGTTCTGTAAAGTTCTGTGACATGCTGTTTTCTGTTGTTCCTTTAATTTATATTTTTGGTGAAGCAGCTATTGGCTTGAAATGTTGGCAGTCCTATAACCACTTTGATTCGAAGAAGAAAAACTTAATGAAAACAACAGTTAAAGAAAAGTATAGCAGACTAAGATATGAGTTTAAAAGTTAAAAAAATCAAGTTATGGGAGAACCTTTTAAAACTTAACGCTTACCTGGAAACAAAAGTATATGCACCTGAGCTCAGAAAAATAGCTGGTCACTCTCATAAGGGCAATTTTCATTAAAAGGACTAATAGAACTCTCAGGACTGATAAGCCATTGATAAATCACGTCACACTTGGCAAAACAGACAAAAGATAACTTTTTCAGTACTTACATCAAACGTGGGTGTGCTTTGCTGGGCACTCTGATTACATGGTTCTCTGAAGCAGTCAGTGAACGGAAGCAAAAGACCCATTGCAATAATGCGAGAACACAGTTTTTCTGCTTCTTCTTGTGGTGCATTTTCCTGCTGGCTGAAGAGCTTTTCCAGCAGAGTTCGTCCTGCCAAGGTGATGACACAGATCAATAAGAATTTGTAGCTGTCTATGGGACACAAAGATTAAGGCATTACAATGTGTATTGAAAATCTCAACTACCAGAAGTAAAAATATAAAATAAAAAAAATTTCTTGAGAAAAGTATCTGATAATTAGTCTTTAATGTAAAATATTTCTATATAATAATTTGAACTGATCTGTGGCCTGATTACTTAGGATACTCAAGAAAATATACATTATGTTGGCTGCACTGCAGAGCAGGAACAAAAACCATGAGATGCTATTGTAGCATCAATTTCCTACTTCTTCATATTATACAACTGTCCTGATGGGATATTACCAAGAAATGAAGTAGCTTTTTCCAAGGGTGTCACACAAAGTTATTATAGAATCAAGTCTCCCCACTCTTGGAATGAACCCTTGTTTTTTGAATCATGAAATGATCGCAGTCTTTATAAAATTGTGCTCTGATTTTTTCAGAGAAACTCTCAATGAAAGAATAACAAAAAAAGCCTGAAAACTATTCTGTTCAAAATTGTATTTAATACATCTCCAGATCAGCAGAGCGCTCCAAACTAAAATGCTGTGCCACAAGCAGCAATCCAGAGAAGTAAACTTCTGAAGAGTAAGAAAAGAGACTTACTCCTACTAGAGGGCCAGATTTCATGATCAAAGTGTTTTCTTTGTTATCTCACTAGAGCATGAAAGGAGGGCACAGGTTATAAAGTATATTACAGGAAACAATGCCAGAGGTTTGAAAGACCTTTGTGCTGTGTGCAGTTAGCCAAAAAGAGACTACAAAAATCAGTTATATACGCAGGCTGAAGTAAAATCTACATTGTAAGAATATTAAATTGCTTGATTAAGCTCTAAAATGTCAAAAGATGCCAAAGTTCAGATTTACAGGATACAAATAAAGATATGAAATAGATCTACTGGAAAAGGCAGACAGAGTAATAAAGTTAATTTCATGTTTTAGTACGAACTAGCTGTGAATACAATTTGTACCTAAATCAGTTTCTATAGCCTGTTTTTTCCACCCACTCACTGGAAGCCAAAGGTCTTTTCCAGAATAAGTATACTGCATTAAGAGAGCATTCTAGTGTCATTTAAAGTAATAACAATAATAATGATAATACTACTGTTTTTCACATACAAACACAAAATTTCTGTTTGAATGTTGATTTTATTCAAAATGTAAAATTTCCCAGGCTTTCTGAATATACTAAAAAGATTTTCTTTAAGCATCTGGAAGCAATTTAAAATGGATATCGCTAAGTGACATTTAGCCCAAAATTTCAGTATTATTTTAACTCCATATGGCAATGCAACCTAAAATAAACAATACATTAAAATGTTAGAAGTTATTTCTAAGATTTTCCACTTCACATCTAAAGGTCTGATAATTCTGAAATATTACTCCAAGTTTCCTAGCCTTTTATTAGACACCACACAGTACATTCAAGGGGATAAGCCAGGGAATAAACTTGTAAGATACACAAGTTTTGTTACATTTACTGACTAATTTGCCTCTGTTCTTTGGTTTCACCACCTATAAGATGATGATAACAAAATTGCTTATTCAACATATCCCTCTATTTAGCTAAAGATACGGTTCAGTTGTCCGATCTTGAAAGTCATTAACTGAAGACAGGCTTTCTTACTGACTGTGTTTTTTCACAATTTACCCACAGTTGAAGCAACATACAGCAGTCCCTTACATGAAGAAAGGCAACAGTATGAAATCATGGAAACAAAGCACAAATAGGGAGCTATCTGTCAACAGACATTTCTGTGATTTGTTTCAGCAATTTTTCTTTGGGGTTGTAGTTGCCAATGCTTAGCGGTGCTGTAAAAGACTACTCAAAAACCCTATAGCTACTATCATCTTACTGCAATAAATGGATTATCCTAGCTATAAATACTGAGGTTAAACTATATAAGCAAGTTTTAGGAAAAATAAGAGTACAAGACTGGCATCGAATTGAGACCAGAGCACCAATAGGCAGCATTTCTGAGGCAAAGCACTTCACGTTACCATAGTACGACCTTGTATCACTGAGTAAAGTTCAACAACATGGAAAGTTGTCTAGCTAAATAAGAAATTACAAGTAATGAAGATGAATGAGGAAATCAATGCTTTACATTTATCTAAAATGCACAGAAGAAAAAAAATAATAAGAAAATGCACCAGAGGAAGAGCACTCTGCACATATACACAAAATATAGGACTATGAAAGAAAAATACAATTTTTTTCATACTATATTAAATATTCAAATGTTATCCATGACTTTTGAATGTGAGAATTGATATATTTTAATTTTTGTCTAGATGTTTCAACATTTAAATAATCTTGTCATGTTTAGAAAGTCTCCTCCCCCCCCTTTCATTTTAACCTAATTAACAGTAATAATACCTATAAGTGACAAAACAGGAAGTGAGGCCTTTTTTTCCTTAATCCACTCATTCATTTGCTAATTTTTGTAGCACTTCTTAACAGTCTTGCTCAAGATCGAATACTTTATTCAGAATCTTAGTTGCCATTCAGTTGCAGTTTAATTTGTATAGTGGTTATTAACTATTGTCTAAACATACTTTAGCATTCAGACAATATAGAATAAGTATATATACCAAAAAAGTCATTAATGATCTTAATTTCTCTTAGTGTACTCTGCATTACTTATGTCATTTTGCCTGTCGGAGCCTGAAGCATTCTCTCCAGTGTATTATTAGTCTTGGAATAAATAGGGTAGTAAAAAATATTTAATAATATCAGCTAGTACTTTTTAACCTGAAAGAATCAATCATTTAATTCAAACTAACTTTAGTTAAATTAAGCTCTTTGCATCACATATGCACACATTGAATCAAAAAAGTAAAGGTTCTCAACAGAAAGGTAATAACGTTCAGATAAAGCTGTACTCTAACACAGCTGCTGTGTTCCTTATAATTGCTATGGAGACCAGGGGACAGAAACAGAAGTTTGAATTACAGAAATACATTTTTGCCAGTTCAGTTAACACCTTTTACCAAATGCAAGCTGAAAAATGTTGAATTTTCAACGCATACAGAAATAGCTTCACTGCAAACAGCTGTGAAAAAAAATCCCTGTATCAACAATAAATGGGTTATATGTTTAGCGCACTTACTGGGCGATATATTTAGAGCAGACTGCTAAGCCACTGAAGTTTTGTACCTAACCAGCTAGGGCTTATCATCAAACTGAATGGTCATTGCAAGCATCAGAACAACTCACCCCTCATCAATCACAAAAACCAGCCAAAGCTATAAAAAGGACAATACATATTTTCTTTAAAGGGAAGTGAGGAGCGAAACCCTACCAAAAGAGTGTCAATACTTGAGAACGTCACTCATTTCCTTGAGGCAACACCACGCTGTGCTGCACTGCCCGACAGACAGAATCACTGTATTTCCAGACTGGGCTAAAGCTATTTTACATGGGAGAACAACATTTCAAAGCCACCGCTCACTAAAAAGTAGTTTCTCCCTTGTTAAGAGCATTTTGTGTTTCTCTTTCATCTACTTTCAGGTAAAAGCCAGTTGTCACTAGAGCAGAAGCATTCCAGCTCCAAAGTCCTCTGTGGACTGATAACAGTCCAGGGAGGCTGTTATCAAATTCACTTCTGCCTCGCTGCCCTCTGACCCAAACTGTGACTGCACTGATGTCAAAGTATGAGATCTTCATTCTTCTCATCAGGAAGCACATTCATGATTTTGATTCAGGGCAAGATGAAGGTTATATTTTTGTTTAGGTATAGCAAAATACTTCTTTAACACTGGACCCTACAGGCTTTAAACTGCTTTCATTTGGATCCAGATACGGTTTGCCAGCACCCAATCTATCTGCACTACATATGCTTGGAATTAATTAAAATTAAAATGACTGTGTGTCTATATGTGTGAAATTGACTGTACCATATTAATCCCCGAATCTATTCCTTAAACAGTAAAACCAAAATCACATCCATATTTAATGCATAGGCTAAATTCCAGTCAAGTTCAACTGTAAGATTTTGAGCTACAATTTTTCATCTCTAGTTCATAAATAAAATCCAGCAAGAACAGCCTTTTTCCTTGGACAACATTAATAACCTCATATTTGTAACTTACATGAGATAACACCTGAATGTGTTCTCAATAGGTGAAGATGGTTGCAAGTAATCTGGAATAATTAAATGATTAATGATTTCATAATTATTAAATGATCAGCTGATCTCTGTTACAAGGATTTAAATGCAATGGTAAAGCAATTTCTCTTGGTTGCCTTTACATGCAGTGAAAATTGTAAAGAACAAAAGATCTCTCAGCTCTCTTTTTGTTTCTTAAAAGGTTAAAAAAGTTCCCATTTTTTATATTTAAACAACTTTTCTTCCCAGAAATCCCAGGTCATGGAGTTCTGGGATCCTATTCTTACCTTTCCCGTAAGTAATAGTTTGGTGGGCGATGGGAGGAGTATCAAGTTTTGAATTAAAGAACTGCAGTGAAGTTTCAGCCTTCAAATCAGTAGTCTGTGGATCTTGCCAAAACCCTCCAGCAAGTAAAACTTGTAAGTTATTTTTTTAGGAGCTTAGAATGACTAATTAAATCCCAGTAAGGAATAAAAAGAATTTACTTTTTTCTTTCCTTACAAAGGATTACACAATTTAATTAATTACTAAAAGAAAGGGAACATGAAATTAAGTTTGGAAGTATCAGGTACTCTAGCCTTCTATGGATATTTTGTGATACTTTTGCTGCCATAGCTCAGCCTAGGTCTTCTCACTCAGCTTCCAAATTCCATGTTTTTCATCTCCGTGTCACCTGCCTCTTCATCTCATTCTCATCAAGATGAAGCACTATGGTCTTACGATCTCCTGTATGACATTATAAGTTTTCATCTTATCACTATGACCAAAACTTGAGTAACATTCTTCATCAAAATCACCTCTGATTACATTTGTAGAACATGTAAGCTATTCACAGCAGAATCAAAATTCCCAAGTC